CCTTGGTATGAACAGGCATGTACCCTTTGATACTTAGTGCTACAAAACACGTAAATATGTCCAAAACTGTGGAATTACCATAGTAACTGTCCAAAAAAGTTCCATTATGCAGTTTGTTTAACTTGGAATACAGATAGGAAAATCACATTTTATTGGTAGGATCATCCGAGGTAAACATTTGAAAGTGAAACACTGAGAATAAGGGCTTAAACACTGACAGGCTTCTCTGAGTTTATGCTTTAGTTATCCAACAGCACAAAAAATCATGTAAATATGGGAAGTGTATCTAGCCAAAGTGAAGCTTGCATTTCTTAAAAATATGCACTACGTGTTTCTGAAGAAGCATAACAGTTGGCTAGAGATATATTTCAATGTAAACTCTGCCAAGTTGTAAACATTTGAAAGTGAAACACAGAGAAGCCTGTCAGTGTTTAAGCCCTTATTCTCATAGTTTATGCTTTAGTTATCCAACAGCACAAAAAATCATGTAAATATGGGAAGTGTATCTAGCCAAAGTGAAGCTTGCATTTCTTAAAAATATGCACTACGTGTTTCTGAAGAATCATAACAGTTGGCTAGAGATATATTTCAATGTAAACTCTGCCAAGTGCCGTGTTAACATTATTTGCATAACTTCTATGTTATTCAGTTGATCTCTTTCTCTGTGGAGATGAATATCACCATATCAGCTCTCTCAGTGTTAAATAAACCTCTGGAATGTTCCTCACCGCCATTAATCATCGGCCGACATTCTTTTGGCAGATCAGATTTTTCAATCACTTCAGCTCTTATTCGCAGTCCCTTTCCAACCATTTAGTTTATATACTCAGCAACCCCAAGTGGGACTAACCTTTGACCTCTGCTGTTATGCGCTTTAGCACTGTCAGTACTGTGGCATTTGAAGAATGTTATTGTTTGATATGGGAATCAGGCATTATTGGTCAGCCCTGTGAATGAGGTCCTGTGGAAAAGTGGGGATGGGCCCCATCCCCCCAAACTCATTAACACTTTATGAGCTGAGAACAAGAGTGTAATTTGGCCCACTTTTAGCGCTCACTGACTGACTGTAATTCTGCACTGCTTCCTGTGAAATATCTGTTCATGAGCGGATTAAGGGAACAGAGTGTCAAGAAGAAAGATACAAAGAAAAACAAACCGTTAAAAGAAGAAAAGAGATAGAACAGTGAGACATCCTCCGCTGCGCAGCTGTGTGTGAAGGAAGAGAAGGATGCTATGTTCCTGTGGGGAGTGTTGGGTCTGAACCATGACCTACTGACACCTCATCCTCCCAGAATTCCATCTTACACATGTTCTCCTCTCTGACACACTCTCTGCATACAGATCATGACCTCACTCACACAGCTGTTTCCTCTGGAGCCATACACCTCTGCTGCTCTCTTCTAGAAAAACCAAATCACACCCATTAAAACGTGCTCTATGCTTCTTACATGCAGTATACACATTAACACGTTTCATCCTTCTTTCCTGAATATCTGTTACCCAGTTTCTTTAAAATTACACCTAAAGCTCAAAATCAGATTGAAGAGTACATTTTACATGTTTAGTTACTCTTGACGAAGGCAGCATCTTGTGGCCGAAAGTGTAACTGCAGGAACAGGACAGCAAAATGTTGAAGTCATGTTCAAGAGAGAGAGATTAATTTCACACATGTAGCACAGCGTGAATATCATGGGACAAATTAAATGGTATTGATGTTTAGAGGGACAAAATTAAATGGCAGATGTTTTAGATCATACATATATTATATGAATATTTTCATAATTTTATCACACCGCTTGTCCACTGTAGGGTTGCAGGATATATAATATATTATATATTATAACTCCCTCATCACTTACACTATGGTTTAAATGTTTGGGGTCCGTAAGATAGATATATAATAAAATAAGAAATTTGTACTTTTATTCAGCAAGGATGCATTAAATTGAAAAAGTGACCGTAAAGACATTTACTGTTACAGAAGATTTCTATTTCAAATAAACGCTGTTCTTTTAAACCTTCTTTTTATCAAAAAATCTCTGAAAAAAAAAAGTAATGTGGCTTCCACAAAAATATTAAGCAACACGACTGTTTTCAGCATTGTTACTTAAGCAGCAAGTCAGCATATTAGAATGATTTATTAAGGATGATGTGATGTGACACTGAAGACTAGAGTAATGGCTGCTGAAATTCAGCTTTACTGTCACCGGAATAAGTTACATTTTAAAATATAGTAAACAGTTACTTGTAATATTGTAATATTTCATAATATTCATTTTTTTACAGTTTTTTTTTTTTTTAATCAAATAAATGCAGCCTTGGTGAGCATAAGAGACTGCTTGTAAAAATGTTAGTCTTACCAACCCCGTTTTTAAACCGTAATCTTTTCACCACTTCTGTATGTTAATTGGCTCATTTAATTATGCTTTCAGCTACCAGTAAGAGTATTGTACTGTCTGATCTGTTTAACAAATTTTTACTGAATCAAAATCCACTACAGAATTCTGCATGTTTTCTCCCAAAATCAGTGCTGAGAATGTGAAATATAATACTTCTTAGGCCTGTTCCCAGCCATCCGACTGGATGTAAAAGTGTTGGTCTCAGAGACTAAAATGTGACTGTGTTTGTGTGTTTCAGCTGGCTCGTGTGCATGAGGATCTGCGGCAGTCTCAGAAAGACAGAGATGAAGCGCTGCAGAGAGTGAAGGACCTGGAGCAGAAGGTTTTTGAACTAGAGGTCGAGACTGAGACCAAAACCCATTCAAATGACAAAACCAGACAAGTCAAACTCTTGGAGGTGCAGCACGAATAGAGCCATGTCTTCTTTTTACTGTCATCAAATATTTATTGAATTATTGACTACATTATAATGTGAATTTGTTATATTGTGCTTTTGTCTATCAACAGGACCGTCTGTCTGCGGTACAGATGGAGATGGAGGAGGAGAGACAGAATGGAGACTTGCTGTTGGAGAGAATAGACAGGGGAAGAGAACAGGTGAGATCCTTTTGACACACTCGCATTTTATTATTAATGTTTTACCGTAATTAATAGTGAAATCATTAAAACTATATAATAACACATATGGAAATATGGGAATTATGCAGTGAACAAAACTATTTTATATTTTAGATTCTTTAAAGTCTAGATTACAGGTCATATCCCAGATGTCTCTCTTCAAGTGGTGCATCCTGGGATGCTTTTTAAATAGTATTGAAGAAGTTCACATGTATATGTACCTCATCCTCCTTATCTCGCCCAGCTCATCCATTTAAATGGTTAAAATATTAGTTTGCAATAAAATTCATACATAATTTATTTGTCTAACAAACTAATGTAAAACATTTAATAAGCCTTTTGTTTAAAAGGTTTTTAATATCATGCAAAACATTGTCACATTTCTCCATGCTTTTGACTAGTATGCATATGAGATTATGTTAAAAAGCTGGTGTCTGTATTATACGGTCTACAGGATTTTTTTATATGTGACCCTGGACCACAAAACCAGTCTTAAGTCGCTGCAATAGCCAAAAATACATTGTATGGGTCAAAATTATAGATTTTTCTTTTATGCCAAAAATCATTAGGATATTAAGTAAAGATCATGTTCCATGAAGATATTTTGTAAATTTCCTACCGTAAATATATCAAAACTTAATTTTTGATTTGTAATATGCATTGCTAAGGACTCCATTTTGATAACTTTTAAGGCGAATTTCTCAATATTTAGATTTTTTTTGCACCCGCAGATTCCAGATTTTCAAATAGTTATTCTAACAAACCATACATCAATGGAAAGCCTATTTATTCAGCTTTCATATCATGTATAAATCTCAATTTTGAAAAATTGACACTTAAGATTAAGATGACACTTAAGTCTTTGCCGCTCAAAATGTAGTATTTTTAAGATGTCCTTCTCCATGAGTACTTTGTTACAAGCCACTTTTTCCATTCTGGTGAAATACAAGTGACGGAATTCAACTTGAATGCTTGATCCGCTGTTGGGTTCTTCTTTGAAAAGTTGCACTTTTAATTTACACCAGAGCAAGAGAAAGATGGAGTGTGAGAGGGAGGGCATTGTAAGAGGAGCTTGCGTAATCGTTCTCTTTGGCAGCCTGCCTCTTGGTGAAAGAGTGCCTGTCCGAATTTCAGGCATCAATTAAGAGCCTTCTCTAAAGCTTCACTTCGGCCAAAATATGCAAGCGGCCAGGCATCTCAAGTCGGCCAGTGGCAAAGCTTACTCCTAAAGCATTTTAGCGAAACATCCAGAATCGCCCAAGCAGAGGTTTAAAGCAAGAGGCCGGAGAGAATTCTTCCTTCCTGAACGAGTAAAGGGAACATTTAGCAAACTCAGGCACCGATGATACATGTTTCCTGAGAAACAAGGTCTGGTTTCTACAATGTCAGACTTGAAGTGTTGGTGCATTGCTTTTTATGGAAGCAAGACACACTTTTATGTGCAGTTAAAGAAGTTTATTTTTTGAAACAAGCCATTTTAGGATCATGCATCATTTGGTTGAACTTGGACCTTTTAAAACTTTCTTCACAAGTAGCCCAAATTTTTCCCCTCGTTTATTGTTTGCAAAAGATAATCTGGCGCATTGGTGCGATTGCACCTGACACACCACATTTAGACCCCTTAAAAGTGACAAATCTAGATCAGGGCTGAAAAGGTGTGATTAATAGATTAATAAGGAGTGGAGCGTGTGAGCTTTTTTAAATTGTCTGGAAATAGAGGCGGATTTAATGACACAATAGTGTTACACTAAGGCCGAGGTGAGTTTCCGTGGAAACAGTAAAGGGCTCTGTGGAGTTACAGAAGTAGGGGGTGGTGTCAGGATGGGCACACCTGCGTCCATGGCAGCAGGTGCACGAGCGGCTGTCTAAATGAGAGTAATCTCCCGCTCTTTGCTCACATGCTTTCTCTTTTTCTCTCTGTCTGTATCACTCTTGTGCTTTGATTAGTTTCAGTGTGTTTTCTGCTCTGCTGACGCAGCACCCTGCAGGGTAGAGCGGCACACGTGGCCCATCCCTCATCCCTGAGCCCCGCTGTCACACGCTAATTGGCATAAAATATCATCCACTCTTTGTGCCTGGCAGCAGTTGAAAAGAGCCATCTTCTCTCTATTGATGGCTATTTTTATCCCCTCTTCTATATCTGTCTTCACTGCGAGTAAATGTCTACATATTGATGTTATTGGTCCAAGTATTCTACAACTATGATGTTTTGACATTTCAATTCAAGCAAAAAAATCCTTTAGAAATGTAAAACTACATACACTACTGTACTACACCAAGGTTTTTTGAAAGAAATCAATACTTTTATTCAGCAAGGATGCATTAAATTGACCAAAAGTGACAGTAAGGACATTTATAATGTTACAAAAGATTATTTAAAATAAATAAATGCAGATAAACGCTCAATGCAGATGACCTGCTTCTACTTATCGCAGGTCCTCATAACTCTTTCCCTCATGTTATGACTGTACTCAAGCGTTTCAGTTGCATTTTGGGGTATAAAGTCAACCTCGCTAAGAGTGAATTGCTTCCTATAAATCGCGCGGCAAAAAATATCTGAGCTGTTTAAGCTCAACTTTTCTCCTCTCTTGGAATAAGCTAGGATATCCCTTGAAAATGGTCCAAGCTCCCCATTTCAATGATTGGTAGGATTAAAATAATTAAAATGAATACGCTCGCTAAATTTTTTAATTTGTTCCAAACTATACCTAATTACATAATTTTTTTTGGCTCATTTAAATAAGCTAATCTCGTCTTATCTTTGGAATAAGAAACGACCCAGAGCACGTCTTCACTTTGTGCAAAACCCTAAAGAACTAGGGGAGATGGCCCTCCCAAAATGTTCTATTTTATTATTGGGCTTATAACATGACTTATTTGCAAAGTTCACATTACATAAATCACGTACCGGACTGGGTCCAGATAGAACCCTCAACCTGCTTTCCTTCATCGCTTCCAGCTCTACTATTTTCACCTTTGACAATTGGTCCAGACTCTCAATCGTTGCACCCAATGGTATGGAACTCCATTCAGATTTGGGCCCAAATCTGTAAATATTTTGGATGGCAGAGAGGTTCAGTTTGTGCCCCAGTTGCCAGAAATCATAGATTTTCTCAGCCTCTGAACGACCGGGAATTCTTGCTATGGCAAGAAAAAGGTATCTTAACATTTAAAGATCTTTTTGCTGATGGCTGCTGCTTGTCTTTTTCCCAATTAGAATCTCAATTTAAAATACCCGAAGCCTACTTTTTCAGATATCTACAGGTACACGATTACACACGCAAGAATTTTTCCTCTTTTCCTTCATTTCCCGAACAAAACCCTATTGATCAACTTTTTCCTGACGACCCAGAACAAAGAGGAACCATCTCTGGCTTATATACAAAACTTGTATCATTATTATCCACTTCTGTAACTGCACAAAGAGATTCCTGGCAAATGGACCTCAATATCTGCCTGACAGACGAAGAATGGAATGAGGCTATATATAGAATTCATGGATCTTCTGTTTGTGCTAAACACTGCCTTATTCAATTTAAAGCAGTACATAGACTTCATCTATCCAAGGCCAAGCCTGGCAAAGATGTTTCCTTCTGTTGACCCCACCTGTCCCCTGCTACATTAGCCCAGATGTTTTGGCTAGGTCTGTTTTTTTGGTCACATTTTTTTTTTTTACTTATTCTAGAATATTTTGTAAAGATTTTTGCAAATCCTTTAACTGCCATCTTTGGTATTGTGTGGGAAAACACTGTCAAAAAGTGAATTGGACTATTGCCTTTTCTTCTCTTTTGGCAAGGTGCTAGATTTTGATTAATTGGAGAATTGGGGAAACAGTCATTTCCCCCTTCTTTGAAACAATGTTGCAATTCTTGAGTTTGGAAAAAATTTGACTTAATTCAAGGGGCTCCGGTTCTAAGTTCACTGTCATGTGGCATCCTTTCATAAATTACCTTCAAAACCTATTATAACTGCAAGTCGACAAACTGATGTTGATGTCAGGTTTTGCTTGTGATTTACTGTTTTTTTTTTTCTCTCTCTCTTTATATGTACACAATTTAAAAGCACAATGCCTGTATGCATGCTGTGTTCGTTGTGTTCAAATGTGAAACGATGTTATTGATTATTTAACTAAATATAAAATGGGGGAAATAAATTCCACAAAAAAATATTAAGGATCGGTTTTTAACATAAAAAGTAAATAATAATAATAATAATAATAATGCTGATGATAAGTTGATGTTCCTTGAGTAACAAATCAGCATATTAGAATGATTTCTGATGTCATGTGACACTGAAAACTGAAATAGTGGCTGTTGAAAAATCAGCTTTGCCATCACAGTAATAAATTACATTTCAAAACACTAAAATAGAAAACAGTTATTTTAAATAGTAACATTTTACAATAATACTTTTTTACAGTATTTTTGATCAAAGAAATGCAGTCAATAAAAGCAAAAGAGATTTCTTTAATGTTACTAAACTTATGAACGGTAGTTTATCACCTTTTTTTTTTTTTTTTTTTTTTAAATTTAAAAAAAAA